GAGTGCCAGAACCACGCCAAAAAAGTCCCTAACGTGTCGTCTGAAATCCTAGAAAAATCTAGATTTTTTGGTACGCTGCTGGCTACTGGCCGCTGGCTGCTACTGGCGCTGGCTGCTAGCTACTGGCTATGTGCACCTTTTGCGTGCTCTTGCCCACGTTCTTGACACCCATTAGTGCCTGCTGCCTGCTGCTGGTGCTGCTGCTGGTTGTTGTGTGGTGCTGCTTGTTGTTCGTTGCTGTTCAAACAGTTTCCAAAGCAAGAAACAACTTGTGCTGCTGCTGCTGCTGCAGCTTTGTGTTATTGGTTCCATGTTGTGCAAGTTGTTGTTGTTGTTGTTGTTGTTGTTGTTGTTGTTGTTGTTGTTGTTGTTGTTGTTGTTGTTGTTGTTGTTTGTTGTTTGTTGTTGTTGTTGTTGTTGTTGTTGTTGTTGCTGTTGCTGTTGCTCTTGCTGTTGCTGCCATAAAATAAAATTAAAATAGAATCCTGCTGCCTGCTGCTGCCTGCTGCTCCTGCCTGCTGCTGGCTGCTGCCTGCTCCTGCCTGCTGCTGGCTGTTGCTGGCTGCTGCTGGCTGCTGCTGGCTGCTGCTGGCTGCCTAACGCCGGCTGCTGCTGGTTGCTGCTGCCGGATGCTGCCTGCCAGACACCTACTGCTGCCTGCTGCTGGCTGCCTGCTGCTACCTGCTGCTCCTGCCTGCTGCTGGCTGCTGCCTGCTCCTGCCTGCTGCTGGCTGTTGCTGGCTGCTGCTAGCTGCTGCTGGCTGCTGCTGGCTGCCTAACGCCAGCTGCTGCTGGTTGCTGCTGCCGGATGCTGCCTGCCAAACACCTACTGCTGCCTGCTGCTGGCTGCTGCTGGCTGGTGCGGGCTGCTGCTGGCTGCTGCTGGCTGCTACCTGCTGCCTGCTGCTGCCTGCTGCCTGCTGCTGCCTGGTAGTAAAAGTAGCAGTGCAGCACCTCTTCTTCCCTTACGCGCTCCCCCTTGCATCGGCCGGGGTCAGCGAATTATTATTATTCTTTCCTGGCAGCTGTGTCATAAACTCTTTTTCCCTTACGCACTCCCCCTTGCGTCTGCCGGGGTCGGCGGATTAGTCGAAGTTTGGCGAAACTATTGGGTTTGTTTCTGTGATTTTGTTTTTTTTACATGGTTCATTGCTGTTTATGATCTGTGGATGTTTGCATTTGGCCCCTGGATCAGCGAATAAGGAGATGATTGCCGCAGGCGCCAGGGACTTTTGGAGCCTTTTGCAGCTCACACATGTTCACACTTCCATATCAATAGATCAATCTACAGTAGATTCTTCAGAGTTCTGCGATCTGAGAGTTTTTTGCTTGTCTATTGTTCTCTCAATAAAACCCGTTGGTCACCGCACTACAGTTTTTTAACCCCTTCGATTCAATGATTTGTCGTTCTTCGATCGTCTATTTTTTTCGGATGGGCTTCAATATGCTTCAGTCACGGGTCATCATTGTGCTTCAATGATCAATGAACAATCAAATGATTCTTTGCCCCACAACTCCCGTAAAACAGCGGCTGTTTTTGGGCTTTTCTAGCCCGCCACCGGGCCAGGCGCACGTGTTGTTGTTGAAGAAGAGGTGATTCCCCCTGCAGCACGATGATCTAAAACGTGATCCGGGCAGAGAAATCTTCGCCTCCGAGGGTTGGGATTGATGCAAAAACTCTCTGGTGGCCCCCTCCAAGATATTGAAAACAGTGATAAGACCTAGCTAGGAGATCCATGTCGGGACCACCAGAGAGCCAGAACTAGGTGATGAGATACTTCACATCTTAGATCTTAGATCAGCGCTTCATGGGGTTACCCAGGAAAGATTTTCCGGGGATCGGCTGCAGCCACGGTAGCTCTCGGAGGTGTTGAAATTTGGCCGTAGGTCCTCTGGTCCTGCGTGTTTATGATTCTGGCAGCGAGGATTAGAAATCAAGTGCTCCTCGTTCCATTGGTTCTGGCCTCGCCAACCATTTGGAGCACCAGTGGTAGTCGATCAGCAAGTTCAAGAGTGAACCTGCTTAAGCCGGATGACGCAGTGCCAAAAGGGCGCAGGCGCTCATCTTCTTATATATTTCCTCACCGGAAAGGCCTCGAGCAGAAGCGTGATGATTCAGTCTATGTCCAGGATTAGATAGCTAGATCATACTAGATCCCCATTGCTACATGTAGTTGTATTGGTAAACTATTAGTTTTATCAGTGTTGATGTGGCCTTCTTGTATTGTAATGCATCCTATTCCATTGGGCCAGGGCACATGTTTTCAACGATTTTTCAAAGCCAACTGCAGCAGTTTTGATTGGAAGAATCCATGCAGGGCATGGACGGTGCGGTGAGGATGTAGATTTGCGTGCCCCAAGTGGGGCAAACTCAGGCAGATTAGGATCACAGAGAGCTGAATGCTTTAAGCAATTGGCACATCTGGGGAATTCGAAGCTTCGAAGTATGCTGGTACTGACAGATGACAGATGCCTACAAGAGGCTCAGCGGAGAGTCATTAGTGCCACCTACTGTCCGCCTCGCACCGCGCACTGACAGAAGGAACCGGAGGCTGTCGACCAGAAAAACGCTCCGCATCACCATGTCCTCTTGGGCGCAGCGCCAAAGAAACCTCAAGGGTAGGAGCATTCTTTGTTGGATTTTGTTGGCTCCGCGCATTCTTTTGTTGTTTTTTTTGTTGACTGAGTGACTCTGAAATAGCTTCTGTTTTTACTGTGAATGGCGTTTTGCCTGGTGTTTGTTTGTTTATTATATTCTCAGGAGGCTTCTCCCGTTTCAAACATTGACAGTGGCTCAACCATCAAGCAGAATCCTTGACCAACATAGGCCCCCCACAAAAAACTGCCCAACATGACTTAGGTGAAAGATGCGTTGTGCACAGCACTGGGCGTTGATCCAGAAAGTTGGAGGGCTCAGTGGCGAACTGCTTTGGGTATCTTTGGATGTAAGTCTTTTCGTATGGAACGAAGGAAGGCTCAATACTATACTTTTGTTTTGGAGGGGGGAGGGGGGTAGAGGATCAATGGTGCAAAGGGGGTGATATCTTGTAGCTAGGCATGAAAACATCTTATTGAAGTCGACAGACACCCTTCTACAGCTGGCTTTTGTACCGTCCAGCCATCCAAGGCCGGAGGTCTGGAATAATGGCATTTTATATCCCAAATTGAGGACATGTGGGCCTCCAAGAGCCTTGTTGGTTTGTAGTCATACAGGTAATACAGGATTCTATGATCTGTTTTAATTGCGGCGGTTTTGGAGCTGGGCTGCTGGGACGAGTTCTCATCCAAGTCAAGGTCCTGAACCTGGGGGTTGGAAGAAGGCAACACAAATCAAGAGGATGAAAAGCTTCAGGCATACTCCCCACATTTGTGTGTGCCTCATTGGGCTCAAAATACTCTTCGCTTTGCGATGCTGCTTGGCGGCCTGGCGTCACCCGCAGCTCCAGCAAATCTATGCAAATCTGGGATGATGATCCCAAGCGACCAATGTATAATTCGTTTTCAGGGGTTGAACCATGTCGAAACCACTAAGTTTACTAAGTATTTTTAATATGTCCTCAAGAATCCCAAGCCGCAACACCTTGACTTCGCCAACCGTCCTTTTGGACTATAATCTCATATTTGCCACGTCGCAGCTCGTGCTGATGCCACGAGCTGCCCATGAGAGCGAGTGGATGCTGCATCCTGTGGTTGACGCTTTGCCTCTATCTCAAGAGAGGCACGGGGATTTCTGGAGTCCACAGAGAAATGGTCCGCCTTTCTTGGGAGTTTTCCACGTTAGCCCATAGCTACAATAAACCTTGTGTTGTTGCAGAATGTTGAGAAATGTCACTGTATCACGAATTCAACATATTCCAATGATCGCTGATACTGTTGGTTGCTACGTCATACTACGTCCATGTTCACTTTCGATGGGTTTTCTCTCTGGATTATTGAATATTTGAATAGCCGGTGCTCCAAATTTGGATTACCGAGTTTCCAGATACTGAGTCGGTGCACCGCATGGCCTTGTTGGAACTTGGGGTCCCTTTGGATCCTGGCCGGTGAGCGTTCGATCTCCTGATGTCCCTTAAGAACATGTCTTCAGATTCTCATCGGATATAGTGAGATTTCATGGCGAATTTGAATATGTGAATGGGATTTAGAAGGGATTTTAGTGGACATGATCATGGGATTTACGATGATTTACCCTCTGGTTATTTAACATAGCCATGGAAAATGGCCCATTTAGTTCGATGGTTTACCTATTAATAGCATGGTGGATCTTTCCATGGCTATGTTAGTCATAACCAGATGGTAAGTATTTCTTGGGACATGTTCAACCCCGGCGTATTTCCGATCGTCTGTGGCGCCAGGCGCGTTTAGCCAGTCCTTAAAACCGCCTGGCTTCGAAGCTGTGGAGGCGAAATGTGATATGTTTATATGTGATATGTTGTGAATTGTGATATATCTACCATAGGTTTATAAACCAGCTGATATGTATCAAGATAGATCAGGAATTATCAAGATATATCATGGGATAAACTATTTGTTTATATGCACTGATCTTATAATGATTCCCCCATAAGCCTTCAGGCTTGACTGCTGATCTCCCGAGATGGCGATGGAGATAGAGAAATAGTTTCAAACACTGGCGCACGAGTTCGCAACCATCCACAGTATTTAATGACTGGTTAATGACTGGTTAATGACTGGTTAATGACTGGTTAATGACTGGTTAATGACTGGTTAATGACTGGTTAATGGAGATTCAATGGGATTACATTTAATGGGAACATATATATATATATATGTATATAATATTATATATATATACACAAAACTAACCAATACATACCAAAGCTATGATATCTGGATTCAAATACCAGCTTTAGAAATGAACAGGGACTCACTTGTAGCCCTTTTTGAGAAGTGTGCTAGGCGCAGAGAGAACTCTTGTCATTGCCAGGAGATATTCGTTATTGGTGATTTGCATGCGGACATCCACTGTGCAAAGCAATGGGTTTCAAGGCGGAATCCCGTGGAATCCCGTGGAATCCCGTGGAATCCTTGATCCCCCTCAGTCGCAAAAAAAATCACATGATGATGTTGGGATATATCTAAGTATACTGGCACGTGTCATAATTATGCAGATATGTATACACATATTTATATCATTACAGATATATATATATATATGTACACAGGATCCAATATAAAATCTCTGTATTAGTAAATTCATGTAACTTATTTAGTTTAACCATTGCTGTCATGATTCATTTACATACACATATGCATATATATATAGTGTTTATACTTGACCATGTAGTCAGGGGCCATCCACACCATACCCACGCTACGCGCATCCGTGAAAGGACCAACTTGCTGGATGTGCAGTCCTGGAGCTGGAGGGCTGAGACATCCGCGTTGGTCTTTCTGGGGGATTATGTGACCTGGCTCGGGGAGCCATGGGGAAATCCATAAGGAAAAAAAGCGGGACCAAGAACTAAGCATAATTTATATAGATATGTATAGAGATACCAATACATTATATATAACTTTTATAACCTATACTTACTTTATATTTTGTGCATTCTGCAAAGTAGATTATATTAGGGTTTAATGAATCAGTGTGTATATATATAGATGTGTACAATGCAATGCCCGTGAAGGTGGAATATGTAGTACGATGATTTACTCTCAATTCCTGTCATCACTGGAACATCTTCCTGTGAAACAAATATTGGGGTTGACATCATTTGGCATTTCTACTGCGTGACTTTGGAGACGGTGACTGCGGCGGGTGCTCCCCAGTCACAGGTTTGTGCAAAAATAGAGTGCCCCAAAAATCTAGTGATTTCTCATCATTTACAGTGTAATTTACAGCATTTACATGTAGGACATACAGGATACACCCTGCTTTTTGGCAAAACCATGTTTCACCCATGTGATGAATATCACCTCAAATCTTGCTGTGGTAGCAGCGTCCTCTCCCATAAAAGGTAGATCGTGGACCGTCTGGAAAGCAAGTCCTGGACGCTTGGCATTTCACTGTTTCAGGCAGAGATGCTGTGGATCTCTCACGACTAGCTGGATATAGCTGGATGGTCATGAAGTGGTCGTTTAATTTCCCAAAGCCTTGGTCTTAGAGAGATTTGGATGATTTGGACACCCAGTCATCCAAGACTACTACCCGCCAACAACAACCGAATTGCACATGTACAAAGTAGTGCCACCAATCTACAAGCATACAAAACCCATTTGAGTATGTTATATTATATTTACATATTGATACATATATGTAATTCATATATAACCAAGTACTACTCAACTAAACCGACTTGGCAAACTGGCACTGTTTCGCACCAGCATTCCGACTTCGGAAACACAGCAGCCCAGGAGTTCGTGCGAAACTTGACGGTCAGTTTTCCGCGCAATGTCCTGGCAATGATGGGTCACTTTGATGCAAACCTGGCTGCTACGTGTGTGCCCCATTGGGCATGGGTGAAGCATCACAGATAGCACGTGGAAAAAAAGAAAACAGTCCAAAGATGTGTGTATTTTCTCCATGTTTCACATGGTTTGTAGACTTCACCGTTTTTGGGGATAGGATCTTGACATCGCAGCTCCATGATCATTTGCCCAGCTTACAGGTTTACAGCCACTGAAGTCACTAGTGATATCCATGGAAATCTATGGACCGTACTCCCATGTCACCAGCTGGTACAACAAGCATTTCATGATTCCATGCTGCCGAGGAGTGATTAATGGTGATTATACCAGTCCAACATAGCTGGGATTTTTTACCACATGTTTCTGATTGTTTCTGTATAATATGTAATAAAGTAACCGACAAAATTAATACTAATTAATTTAGTCTTGCTTCGCTGAGGGGTGTACAGAACCTCCATTACTGATAGGGGACGACCCTAAGTTGTGCCTGGCATGAACATGCACAAGCAATTTTCTCCGCTATTCATTTGTACATTTTATATACTTATATATATATATATACACATTTGATTACATATACATATGAATGTAAATATGTATATATACACGTTTTTTTCATGTAATTTATGTACATATGTGTATATATATATGTGTATATATATATATATATGTATATATAAAAATGTATTTATTTATTGCCCACCACCAACAACAATACCGTTTTTCTTCCGTGCGTTCCTCTTAAGGCAACCACGACCTCTACACCTTGGCCGATGCCTTACTGCCCTCCGGCGCCACGCGATTCATGGGCGCCGCGGTGAAGGATTTCGCGTATGCCTTCCTACACCCAGCCCCTTGGCCCGGCGAGTGCACCAAGAATGGGAATATGTTGATATGGTGATGATATAACCATATATGGGGATAACATGTTGTCCTGAGATCATACATGACAATAACGACAATAATCGTAATTCTACTCAAAGAAACTAAAATCATCCTTGGAATAAGATGTCCGAGATCCTCAATACTGAGATTCTTGGCAAGATGTTCCCACCAAATGGTCACGATTTATCAAGATTCCAGTCACCTCTTCAAAGCGAACTGAGAGGCATGGTTACGAACCATTGAATCATCCCCCACAAAAAATGCCATGGAGCACCTAATCAGCACCATAGAATGCAATTTTTTGATATTCCCTGCAATGTTGTTAAGCCTGCGACAAACTAGATTTTCAACTCTTGAGTGGATATCCTTAGCTAATTTTCATTGGATATCCTCATGATCGATGGTTGAAATTGTTGGTTCTTATATCATTATCTAGATTTATCCTCGGGTAATTTGACATAGCTATGGAAAAGACTCATGTCCAATCTTTAGACTGTCCATCAAGGGGCCATTTTGCATAGCTATGTTAAATTACCAGAGCGTTCCCATCAAACTATGTGGCTTTCTGGCCCATGTTGACCCCCAGCCACCATAAAATCCCTGCCAGGAGGAGTATCTCAACTGGATTCCAGAGCTCGAGGCGCAGGCGGGACTGGAGATGCTCTAGATCGACTGGATAGATGATGCTCAATGTTTTAGTGATTTAATGGAACTTCGCCAACAAAATTGATATATTTAATATGCTTAATTGATGTTCAGAACGGAAGATTACCACATGATTTTAACCACGTAACCACATAGCAATTCCTCATTAGCCTTTGGTAAACTAACGGTAAATGCTATTGAACATGGCCATAGAAATAGTTGATTTACCTCAATTTACCCGGCTTCAAAAATGTGATTTACCCGGCTACAAAAAATAGTCTCCCAGATATCCGACAAAATTGTATGGTTTATTAGTCACCAAGCACGTATATAAGATTTATAGGGGCTCATTACTGTAATGGTAGTAAAGCAAAAATACATCACCCATATGTTGATGGTTTATACCACCCATTGATGGTGCAATTGGGGATGGTGGATCCTATTGCTTCACTAACATTACATGAATTATAGTCGCAGTATTTATGAACATGTCAATGTCTCTGAGTCTCTCTTTTTAGTTGTTCTGCTCCTCTCCACCTCTCGCCGGAAGTATCATATATTGATATTTACCTCAACATATTTATAATCACCCAAAGGTGTGGCATGCTTTATTGTCTAAATATGTCTAAACTGATCCAACATCTAAAGTACTATGAATGTAAAGAAAAGGAATATAGCGCGCAAATGAAAATCATGTGATGCAATGTCTTAGTTTATTTCCACATGATGCACATGTATTCTTGCTGTTTTGCACCACCACTTTGCCACTATTTTCCGAACCAATCTGGAGATTTAAAGTCTACTCTCTCGCAGACTTGGTTTCTAAACAAATTACAGGAAACTCCTGTATCTAGGGTAAAAACCCATGGTTTCCTGCAACATTTCCATAAATTTGCCTTGAATCAATTGACATTCCGATTACTGTTTCCAGGGGTTCGACCAGAGGCGGAGGATCTTGAGTCTTTGTTGCCCTCACTCTTCGCAGCGCTGCAGAATGTCTACGCTCAAAACTATGAAGCGGAGGTCCCTGAGCAGTTTTTCTGGAGTCATTTTTGTTTAAGGGTCCAAAGATATCGGAACCAAAGACATCGGACTTCTCATTTCTGGGAGCGTTTTTTTTTGTTTTTGTTATAACATGTTATAACAAAGAATTTTGTGGTCACTTGCTGGATATTGTAGCTCCAAGTTCCCTTCCAAGGTCATGCTTCAAGCAGGGCGGCGAAGCCAGACCATTTTCGAAGCTTGGCACTTAAGTTCGCGAAAGGTTGGAACAAATAAGAATCACTGCAAAACATATGCAAGTCTCTCATATTCTGGCTATAAATGATTTCTATAAATATGTATATATATATATACATATGCGTGTGTGTGTTTATAAATGTATTCTGCATTTATTGGTTATACCTGGTAGCCAGGCCACAAGCCAGCTGGTGTATTTTGGGATTTGCAGGGTCCCAGGACTGGCCGCCCTTGCGCTTCAACAGCACCATGTCTGCCTTGCTTCGGCAGCGGCTGAAGAAGTGGCAGAGCTGGGCACTGGAAGGCCGCGGAAAGGGACATGAAGGGATTCACTGGTATTCACAGTATAGCCCTTAACAGTTGGCTTATGGCCTCATTTAAGTGATATATAACTTCGGTTGCGGGAGTTATATATCATCTCATTTATAACTTTATAACTGTTAAGGGCCGTAAACTGCAGGGACTGAATTTTCTGGTGATGGAAACGTGGTTTATCATTGCTTTCTTGATTTACCCTTCGGTAATCAAACGCTGCAACGGAAATCACCACGAAATGAATGGAGCTTTGGATTTTTTTTTAATAAATGGGGATTTTGATTCCCGGAGGGTACTATATGTTCAGGCAAGTGTGAGAGATCATGGTATTTTCAATATTTTTACCCTTCCAATCTTTCAAAATCCTTCAGATGGCAGTTGTGCAATTTTACATACCCTCTGGTAATTTAACATAGCTATTGAAAATGACCATATATAGTGGATTTTCCCATTAAAAATGGTGATTTTCCATAGCTATGTTAAATTACCAGAGGGTATATAATAGGATGATGATCAGCCAAAGTGAGCAAACTAGCAGGACCTCACCACGACTTCACCCTTTATGAATGGCAAGGCGAATCACCGCACCAGCAGGCGTTTCATTTTTAGCAATTGCCGTTCATTTGCCCAGATACTTGGGAAATGCCATGATGGCCTCCATACCACTTAGACCAGTTTATAATATCAATTATTATCATACAATTTGGGCTGCAACTATGGGTTAATTAGGGTGTGCACCCAGTTGTAGATCTCAGGGTGTCCGTTGTTGCCCATGGGAATATGACCCCAAAATTATGGTTGATTGATGGTGAAAAGTAGGTCACATACTCACAGCTTAACGGGGATCATTGGATCATTGACACAATACAGTAGATGGGAGGGAGAACTCTATCACACCGACTAATCATCATCGCCACCTTGCTGGGTCAAGGTTCATAATTTTGGAACTCCTACATTGTCAATCTGGTTAGGAAATTTGCTTTTGCTTTCGATCCACGTTTGCTTTTTTGTAAAGTCAATGCCATTTGTTAATCGAAGCTGGCAATGTAAATTCCCCTATTGGTAGATGAAGTACACCTATTGAAGTGTGGTGAAGTGTGGAGTTTGTTGCCAGGTTCATGAAAGTGTGAGGCTTCTGGTCAATAACTTCAAATGCTTTTTTTTTGCTGGGATGAACATCTGTGATTGTCAACTATGTGGTTTTGTTCACGAGGGGATGCCATATGTTTTGACTCATCCCTACATAGATATTAGAGGTATGATACTGTGGATGGTTGTGAAATCCCGCACCAGTTGATTGATACGTTGCAAACATCCCATGACGTATAGAGTATAGGGTTTCAACCATCCTTTTTGGTGGTGTATCATGTCTTCCAGGCTTGGTAACTTCTGGGTTGGCTGAATGGTTAGCCGCGCGGCCAGTTGCGGCAGTGCTTGCAGGCGATGGGAACATGTCTAGAAGCTGAAAAACCCAAGTGGCTTGCAACACACTTAAATATGATTGCAGATGTATGCATATGCACAAATAGAGCTTTTAAAAGTGCATATATGCATATATATATATATATGGTTTAATCCTCAAATACCATAATTTAATGCGATACAGTACAATGTGGGAAACCCAATAATACATCTACCAGTGAGAAATGGCTTATACCACTCATTCATGATGATTTCGGGGATGGTGTTTGGTGTCTTATTCGTTTACCACATTATGCACACATATTCTTTATACAAGGTATTGTATATACGTATATATATGTATGTAGTAGATAGAGAGATAGGCAGATAGGAATAGATAGGAATAGATAGATAAGATAAGACTAGATTAGATTAGACTAGATTAGATTACTGTAGATTAGATTGGCCAGATAGATATATAGATAGATAGATAGATAGATAGGTAGATAGATAGATCGATAGATAGATCAGATTAGATAAGATTAGATAGACCGATAAAGAGATAGGTAGTAACGTAGACAACTTCTATCTTAGAAGCTAATATCATCTAATATCAATTATATACTATAATTATGGTTGTCTATGTTTGTAGTTACTGCTATTACTTTAAACTCAGGCACTTTACACTAATTACTGTACAAATACAGACTGTAACTATGCTAATATTGTTACCGTACAATTACTGTTGTAATTTATGGTTGTCTATTAGTTACTGTTGTTACTTTAAATTTACAGTATATAAACTTATCTCAGATAGACTTCCAGCACAGTTCTCAGGCGTTCTCTTCGTGCACGGCGGGCTGCCATCGGCGCTGACCCTGCGGCAGATCCAACAGCTGGGTCCAGGCAGCGATGGGGGGCGAAGATCCATAACCAATGACCATGGGGCATTAAAAGTATCTAAAACTGGGGAATATGAGGATAAAATGCTCTCTTTGAGAGGTATATTATAACTGCTCTGATGTTTGTTTTTGTTCGGATCGTGTTCTGGCAAGTCAGCAAAATTCTTTGGAACATCATAGTTATATACTCATAGTTTTTGTTCAAGTAATCATACATCGACCTGAATGGGCCATCGGTACCAGAGAACCCAGCTGATTCCGAATCCGTGAAGGTGCCGTCGTGAATGTTGATGAATTCTTCTCTTCAGGAGCTGGAAAAGGGAGGGACTGTAGATATGCTGGCAACATGGTTGACTAGCTGCTGGTTGCCATCATATGGTATGTCATGTATGCGTCTATGTACATATATATATATATACATATACATATATATATGATCACATATGTGTATATATATATATATATAGAAGTGTGCATATGTAGCAACAAACAAAAAATCAAGGTAATATGCTATATAGTGGAATATTGGTTTTCATTTTTTTTGGGATTAGTCTATATGTTATGTACATAATATGGATGTACATAATATGGATGTACATATATTGCACACACATACATATTTCTATTCATTTATATTTATAATGTATATATGCACCAGGCCCTGCCACCCCCCCCCTCCCCTCCCCCCCCATGGGATGGGTCCCACATACTGGCCCCATATGAGATCTTCCCCCTCCCCCCCTGTGGTGTGGTGGCAGTGTGGCACTGTCCCCCTCCCCCCCCTGTGGTGTGGTGGGGGTGTGGTACGGTATGTTGGGTATGTATGGCGTGTATGGTCGGTCTGGTATGGCATGTTTGGAAAGTATGGTATGTTTGGTATGTATGGTAGGTATGGTATGTATGGCATGAGTGGCTGGTATTGTATGGATGGTAGGTATGGTATGTAAGTCTGTTGGGTATGGTATGTTTGATATGACAGTATGTATGGTCTGTATGGTATGTATGATTACTATGATGGGTCTGGAATATTTCCTATGTAAGGTAGGTATGGTATGTATGGCATGTATGTTTGCTATTGTATGTATGGTAGGTGTGGTAATTACATTTCATATGTATGGTATGTGTGGTATGTATGATAGATATGATAGATATGATAGGTATGGTATGCATGGCATCAGTGACATGTATGGTAGGTACGGTATATGTTAAACACGGGTAGTGTTGTCAGAGTACACAGGTAGTAAATAGCAAGTAGATACAGTAGATACATAGCACATGTATATATGACTATAGGTAGCACGTAGGTACTTTGAAGGAGTATGTGTGCTACGTAGGTCGCTTAAAAAGGTAGCATGTACCTATATAGTAAATGCGAGGCTGGTAGTCAGAAATGCTGCAAAGACCTAGCAAATACGAAGCTGGACCTCAGAAATGCTGCCAATAGCTTGCAAATAGAAGGGAATTGGGGCTGCTACCTGGGGACCCAACCCATGGGGGGGGGGGGGAGAGGACGGAGGACGGGACCATATATATATACATTTGTATATTATGATGTTTTTTCGTGTATGTATATAAATTATATATATATGCTATAACACACATATATATATATATATATATACATAAATAGTCTAGTATTTTCATGTTCGATCAATCCCCAAATCAGTGGATTCACTATGGCTGCGACTGCCCTCACCTGGATCGGTGGGTGAAGTGTGAATCACACGGGAATTGTAAGGGGAATTGTCCCTTTATTATTCAGGTTAGTGAATTTATTTCAGTGAATCCCTGTACAATCTACAGATGCAATGGATAGAAAATCCCTAAGAGTCAGCACTGGTTTGTAGAGAACTTGTACAAAGTTTTGCTGGTTTATAGCCCATCTCACTGGTGGCCCGCATGGGGGAAGAGATAGGCCTAAGGGGTCGGTCAGTGTGTTTCTTTCTGTACCCAGCCACCCACCTCTTCGGACATGTGAACAGTTGGCTATTCATAGGATGCCTCACCTCCATAATATACATTTTTTGTTTGCTGGCTACCGGCACGGGCCCCCGGGCCCGGCCCACCGGCCACCGGCCACCGGCCACCAGCCTACCGGCCCGGCGCACCGGCCCGGCCGACCGGCCACCGGCCCACCGGCCCCCCCACCGCCCGGCCCACCGGCCCACCGGCCCCCCCCCACCGGCCCACCCCCCACCTGCCCAGCCACCCGGCCTCCCCAGCCACCTGCCCAGCCACCGGCCTGCCGCCTTGAACCCGTCATGTCAGGCGCCATCGAACCACCGCACCGGCTGAGCCACCGAGAAGTCTTACACAGAGGGTTTTTTTACACACAGAAGCTTTTACCCACAGACGCTTTTACACGCAGACATTTTTACAGGCAGACGCTTGTAATGTTGAGTTCACTTTATATTAGTAAGATACCCCGAATTTATCCATATCCACAGCGGAAAACTCTTTGACACTAACTTTTTGGGTTGGTTCTCCCAACGAATCCCCTATTAAACAACACCCTTCCGGAAAGTTTTTTAAGTTCCAACTAGTCCGCACTAAGGGGTTCTTACGATCGGCGCACGGCCGGTGCTTGATCGGGGTGCTCCAGCTGAAACGGCTACCGGCCCACCGGCCCCGGCCACCGGCCCACCGGCCCGGCCACCGGCCCGCACAAAAAAAGTATTTACTCGATGCCTCGGGAGGCAATGTTTCGCCAACTTTGGGGTGGTGCTCATGAGCCGGTTGACAAAGACACCATATCCAACCAGTTGGCTTATCAGTGGCTTTCACATCGCAATTGTAGATATGATTGAATGGATTATTTGGTGGTCTCACGTTTGAAAGTGTTGGGCTGAAAACTGCTTGAACCCTAGACAGGGGAGAGAAAGAGAGAAAGAGAGAGAGAGAGAGAGCCAGAATTGGAATTATGACCAGATGTTCATCAATCTATATAACGTATGCTGCAAAGCATGTCAAAAGCTATTCCATCACCCTCCATGTTCCTTTTTAATTTTGGATGATTTTGGCCTATCTTTAGGCAGTACACCCATCTTTGCGAATCGCGAATCGCAGACTTTCTGCCAGGCCGCAAGGAACTTCTAGAGATGGTTCATGAGGCACGAAAAATGTGGATCACTAAGTCCCCATTTGGAGCTTTGGTCATGGGGGGTTCCCCAGTCATCACCATGTTTCAATACTAAGTCATGGTCATCCATGGTGTGGATTTGCGGGTAGCCCCTACAGGGAACCTCCTCGAAGATCCCAGCAAGTGACCCTCTAATTGACTCAATGAGGAAAATGGATGAAAATGGATCAGATTCTCCATACGATGTCACTTTAGAACTTGGTTGGCTTATTTGCAATACGATGACTCTCCCGGACATGACGAAGATGGGAAGTGTGCACTGGGTTGTCTGAAATCACGAGATCAAAAAACAAAAGATGTTCTTGTTAATTTCAACAAATAGCAACTGTTTCGGAAACATGGTGAATTCAAACAAACATGGACAAGGACATTTCCCATTTCAGGCGAAAAAAAGATGGAATGGGGTCACCATTGGGTCACCATGCTGTGACTGTTTAGGACTGCTTCCAGAAGGTGGCTGGGATGACTGTTGTAACCCAATTCATGTAATGGACACCTGAGCTGACCCTATCGCTCCCCAGCGATGGGCCTGAAGCAGAGTTGTTCTCTTAGTTCTGTTGTGTCTTTTGGGGATTATTTGAGGATTATAAGTGGTTGTTCAGCATAGGTGGAGAATCAGAGGACAAAAACATACAAAAAACACGAGCTTCAAGCGATGAGCAGTTTTACCACTTGACGCGGAGTTCGCTGATTCTGATTCCAATGGACGATTTCAAAAGTTGGTATTTAGCCTCAAGGCAAAGTTTAGATATGTTCTCTCAAGAGGGGGGGGCAAACACCCCTTGGCAAGATGGCAGGTCAAGTGAGATATAGTTATGTATAAATGTATAATTATATTGTGTATATATATATATATATGTATACATATATTATATAGCCGCTATAATATGTATATAGGTACCACATATATTGATGACAGGGACCTTTTCGGCAGTTTCGGAGGTGCACATGGCTCGGATCATCAGTTGCATCTCTTGAATCCACTGACATCCACTGCCCATAGACGATGCTGAGTAAGGAGAATTATCTCCTAAGTAGGCCTTCACTTTTCTGAAATTCTCAAACCTGTTTTGGGAATGATGATATACGATATATATATATATATATATAGAGATATGAATTATATATATATGATATATCATAATTAACCAGAAGGATTTGTTATTTTGGATGTTGTGGTGTGGCCCATCTTGGTCCAGTCACAAGCGACAGGTGGTGACCTACAGAGGCTTTCATGGCAGAAGGGGTTGCAGAGAGGTGGACCAGGTGCCGCGGTGCCATGCCGTGCCGCGTCCACGTCGTGAAGGATGATGGAGCATGATCACTTACATACACAAATGTAGACAGACAAGAGATACATTGATTCATCCCCCACCATGATCTGTTAGATCTGTTAGAATCTAAGACAATATAAGATGACCTAAGGTGCTCTAAGATGAATTAAGATTATCTAAGATGATCTAAATTGCTGATGTTCTATGATTTACTGTACTCATTCTTTGATCGGTCAGGTGTTCTGTTCATGTCATGGCAGTTGAATGTCTCCCTCCGCGGCAGTTTCCCAGGCGCTACATCTTCTCAAGGACGACGATGTGCAGATGATCGTCGTGGGCCACACTGCAGGGAAGACGGTGCCAGCCATTTGCCGGGGGGGGGGGCACTGGGCAAGTGAGGTTGAACAGCCATCGATTTAGGGGGATAATTGCTCTGTTTCATATATATATATATATACGTTGCTATGAATATATCGTAAGAATCGTAAGCCTGGATTTAAGGCTCACATGGATGAGACGAATTCCCACAACATACGCATCACCAAACCTCCAAAAAAGTGGCCTTTAAACCCTCTCTGATTTATACAATGAGGGGGTTTGACCCCCAAATCATATCGCGCAATGTTTGAGTTTCCACGATGCAATGGGAACCATGGGATATGGGGTTGTTGATGCAGAGTTGACATTTTTTGCATCACTTTATCACGCCATTAATCTGAACCCAGAACAGGTACTGAAATAAATTATACAATATGAATTTGAATCTAAATCACCATCAAAAAGCTTCAAAGGAAGAATCAAATTACCATCCATGTTTTTTGTTGGATCCCTATACCATTCTATACGTACAAATCCAAGAGATCGGACCTGCCAGCAGGTCCGCCAGATGTGTGGAGATCGCTTAGTGGCAGCTGACAGCTCTTTGAGCCGATGCCTGGTGCAATTTGTGATTAGGGACTGATGGGGACCTATGATGATGGACCACGTGGGAATATATATTTATATATGTATAGATATATATATATATGATTATAATTGATTATATATATATGTATATTTATAATTATTTGTAATGGGATCTAACAAAAATAATAATCCATAGTGGAAGTCATATTCTTGTTACATATTATGATGGCTGGGGTCTCTCAATAGTAGTGGGATATATTCGTAATGGGATCTAACTGCCACTCAACTTTGATTAATCTTGACCCAAACACAAATAGAATGCTTCGTCATCCACACAATTTTAGGTTTCGATCCAACAGGCGTAGGATGACGACATGTTTTTGGATGTTTTTGGGCTTCCTGTATGTAATCCCAGCTCTCGAATGTTGTAAAGCCAGCTATACAGGATCCCAAAAGCAACAGAACAAATACTGATCCCAGGTGTTTTTATTGTAAGGGGAAAAGCGTATTTGAACCCAAGCATGATGGCATAGGATGGGTATTTGATTTGAAGTTTCAACAACGAATAATATATATATATTAATATATATATATATATATTAATATATATATATATATTAATATATATATATATGTAATATTATATAAGGCTAATTGACCAGCATGTAACATCATGTAACTTAACCGATCAAGAGTGGCTATAAACCTACCAAACGATGGGGATATGCCATTGGACGTTGAAATGCTAACAGCTGGGCCTCGGTGCTGGATCCGGGTTCGAGGCTTCTATCGCTCCTATGGGAACCGCTACTGTCCAGTACAAGTGGCGTCTTGGCCCAGAATATGGCCTCTGATAATGAGGAGATCAGTATTTCCATGGTGAATATGATGATAGGTCAAACGTATTGCAATAAATCTAAATCCCAAATTTAAAATAAAACCTAAATGTTTTTCGGACTAACCTATATATGTTCCCAACTTAGTCTTAGGGGATAGGGGAGTTTACATGTCATGTCAGATTTCAGCCGGCCGCCCGTGGCCGCCCGTGAACTCAGGCTACAGAACGCCATGGAACATGCAGCAGAAAGCTATCTCCTTGCGCTGGACAGGCCCAGGGCCATCCTGAGTCACTTGGGAAGACCATTGGGGGCCATAGTTCCTGTGTGCAGCTTCCATGAAGCTTCGAACCATAATTGATTCGGAGTTTCATTTTCCGCCTTCCTCTTCCCCAGAGCCGCTGGAAAGGCTTTCCATGTTGTTCAGGTTGGTTCACAGCAGATGGTGCAGATGAGATGTTATTTGAATGGTTCTGACTTGGCTTGAACCCCAAGTCGGTAGTCACAACTGAGTGCTTTGAGACATGATCTAATCTAAGGTAGTGAGATTTTCAAGTCCCAACCATTGCAGGAGAACTATGCACTAACTCTCTGCATGGCATGGCAAAAGCATGGGTTCCAGCACATCTTCCATCAAACCCACGGGAACATAGATTTCTCAGGGAGCTAAATTGTCGACCCTGTGGACCTCCTTGGGTTGCAGGCAGCACGTATCCACAAGGGGCGCGTAACCCTTGTGAGTTTGGAGAATGTGAACGAGGAGCTGGTTAGAGCGGACTTTCCATCAGGAAATGTGGTAAACCCTTGTAAACCCAATAAATACCCAATGACAATCCTCCAATTTGGAGGGTTTGTACAACCTTTTTCTGGTGAAATAGGGGATGGCATATCATTTGGTTTACCGTGTATATAATCTTCCAATGTATGTAAAATTATTGCCTTTTCAGGAATTATTGCTGACAACATGTTTTTCTGCGTGTCAGCAAGTTTTGTATTTGTTTGCCTTTGCACGTGTTTGCCGGTGTTGAAACGGCGAAAAAACCCAAGGAAATAGAGAAAAAAAAGACGAAACGGCGAAAAATAAGAAGAACCCAGAATGTGACAAGACTGAAACGGCGAAAAAAACTGGAAACGGCGATATTTTAGGCAACCGGCGACAATTATAGCTGTTTCGGATTTTGGGCGATAATTTTGCATAGGTGGATTATCCAGGTATATTATATATGTGTTTGATTGTGTGTGCGTAATGTTATGTAATGTATGTAATATATGTATAATATGTAATATATGTAATATATGTAAAGCAATGTAATGTAATGTAATATGTTATGTTATGTTGTGTTGTGTTATGTTACGTATGCATGTATATAGGTTTCCCAGTCCAAAGCCAACTTCTTGCGTGGGCCTGCTTGACCCTTCCCAGCCCTGCTTGCTGTTCCATCATGTTCCACCTTGGTGGCATTTTCCCCCCTATTGTTTAGGAAAGCTCACTTTATGCATCAAAGGTGCTTGGAGGAATTACATCATACCCAACGTTACCCATCCGGTTCTTCATGGTGATATGGGGTGCTTGGGTCCATAGTGCCATAGGGTACAGTCAGTTGAAATGAGCACAACATCTTCTCACAGAGGAGCTGTGATTCCGACTGCTTGGAGAATCTCACGGACCACATCTCGACCTCTGGACCTCGGAGGTAGCCGTCATGAAGGATATGATGGCGGAGTACCCCTGGGGCTCACCCCATATCTTTGAGGAGAGCGGACCGCCAAAAGAGGAGAAAAAGACAGATTGGATCATCCGCTGGGGGTTCATGGCTGCTTCATGACTGCAACTTGTGGGCGGCAACTGGAGTCCACGATGGTGCTTTGCACGGGCTGCGTGTTGCTGAATAGCCTTCTGAGTTTCATGGGATTTTGACACATTGGAAACACTTAGGTGTGCATTTCTACATCAAGCGAGGCGCGCCTGGCGGCGTTGGATGGATGCTGCTAGTTTGGGGTTTTACCCAATGATACCCAATGATTAATAATGGATATTGTATCAATATATATATACATCACCATGCAATTATCAATAAGATATTACATTACCATTATATCACCATTTTATTGTTATTGATTAATTATCAAATCATATCATTCCATTACTATGTTGACTAACATATTGATCAACATATTGATAGACCATATTGATAAACTTATAATGTTGAAACCCAGGCTGCAGCATCCGCAAGCTCCGCGCCGGCGACGAGATGGCGACGTTTGTTCGGAGACCCGTGGCAGATAGGAGGCAATCCTAATGAAAAAAATGTGATCACGGTGATTAGATAATAATTTATTATACTGTTATCATCATTCAATAACGATTATCAAGAACAAATATCATATCATCATTCTATAAATGATTATTAAACAAATACGATCATTAGGTGATTATGATGATGGCTATTATATTTCATGGTGGTCTGATATTTACCTCATGCATTATCATGTGATAATTTTCAACATATTACAGCACCTGTGTTTGAGTTTGTTACTGATTGATTATATATATATGCATGGTATAATTATCAAACACATGAAATAATACGTGTTTGTATATTTGAGCATACCATTTGCGGGCTGTGGGAGGTCCGGGGGGACCTGGGTATGCGTAGAATATGTTCACATGAAAATCAAGAAATCACCAGTTAGAGATGGAACCAAACCAATCACCGCAAAGAAACTACTTGGAATATGTGCGGAATGTGTGCGGAACGACGCAAAACAAAGCTGCCAGCGTGCCACATGGCACTAAGGCTTCGGTCAAGGGGATCAACTCCTTTAGGCAGCAGGGGATGGGCCTAGTTGGTTTGTCTGAGAAGTGGGAAGAGGACAGCAATCCATTGGGATTGGGGGTGCCCTCTTGTCAGACAAACCCACATGTGGCCCAAGCATCACCGGGTAGCTATCGAAGCTGATGACTGTACACAGTTACCAGCAGTAGGGCAGATCAGCAGATTTGGATTGACTAGAAGTATGGCTGTTGACATGACACCATAAGGAGCAGCGGGCTTTGCTTTGTTGAGGGGCATTTTGCACCCCAGTCCTAAAACAGCAAGACATCCGTGGTTGCCAGTTGGGTTTGCCTCACAATGAGGGATGCCTTAAATTCATGGCATTTTGAAGACGGAAAATGATGATAAATCAATGATTTGCAAAATTTTGCAAGATTTTGCAAGAAAACTTAGTTACTTAGTTCTTGGTATGTCCTGGCAATCCTTTCCACATCTTTCCACCCATTGGCATCGGCATCAGGCCGCAGCGACATATCTGGCCACATCCTGCTGGAGTGATCGGCAGAGGGCCTAGTTGTCGCAGCAGATTCAATCTTCGTCAGGTTGGCGGTTTCAACTCCTATATAATGAGGAATCGCTATAACTTAAATTAGCTGATGGTAGCACATGATCATTAATTTCCCCATAGCTAATGGTAATAATAGTCATAACTTAAATTACCATTATATAGATACTCTTTGAGGCTTGGGTAAGATACAAAATCCCCTACTCGCCTTTAGCTCTGCTGAACTCCTTGAGAAGGCAATGGAGACAGAGATCAATCTCTGGACGGCTGCTACATTGCCATTGTTGATCATTTTTGCTGGGCCCATGGTGGATTTCCCACTCTGCAGTAAGCTAATTATCCTCAGTAGCATTTTTGAAATAAAGAAATGACAAATGGGTATACCGCGATTCTTGGGGCGATTTCTGATGAGCCCCTACTACGGTTGATACTTGGGGATGCTTGTTGGCATTGTTCGTCTCAAGTTTTTTTCCATCGAATCTTGGATGATGATCCTTCTTATGGACTGAATAGTTGGCATGGGATGAAACTACCAACCAGTACTTTTCAAAAGTTCAGTTGAGGGAATGCAAATACTTTTTTTAACAAACAATACTTGCACTTACAGCAGCCCAACAACATTTTAAGAGGAGGACCGCCAGTGGTCTAGGGCACCGGGCAAACCCACTTACAATGTTGGCGCAGCCAACTTCTCGGGAAAATACGTGATATGATAGATATAAGCAGGAGTCCGTTTCAAACCTAACCTGCGGCTGCTTGTCCACCCAGTTATGTGACCACTTCCGAGTGTTTGAAGAGAGGTGCCGGGTACAACGGCTTGAAGACCGCCATGATCTATGCGAAGGCTTTGCAGCACTTCAATCACCAGATGTTGGTTGATTTGTTAGTCAGGTATTTTGGGTCGACTTTGAGTACTTTAGATCTTACATGAGAGTTTGAGTTGGGCAATACGCGCCTAGAATATGACCCTTGGCGAGGATGGTGAGAACACGGAACCTCTGCATATATAGTTGACCCCCAACTCATAACCGCCGTGCGGCCGCAGTCGGGCAACCACAACTTTGTTGTCTTTGATCGCAACGACAAGGCGCGCCATGGCGCCATGGCGATGGAGAGAGAGATCCAAGTCATGTCACCAGGGATTTGTTTTGGGTTGGAACTACTTGTAATTAGTCCAACATTAGGGCCATTAGGGTCACCATTAGGATCCATTAGGGCCTTTAGGGGAAGGGATTGGAACGCATGAACTCTGAAGTGCGCAAAGATGTGATGCTGGAAGCAGTCGGATCTACAACTGCCTCAGAATCGTGGTTTTGTTTTTCTGATGCAATCCTTTTTTCCCTGATATCAAATAGCCTTAAAAACTCTTAAAAAGAATATGATTGGATTTATTCATCTATTCATGTTTCGGCTCCTTTTCTGGTGGGTGGGATCATATCGCTCACATCAACTGAGTTTGACATCGTTCAAGTGACGCCCGATGCAGGTAGGCGGTTATTGCTGGATTACCGCTGCCAACAAGGGCTCCAAGTTGCAAACGGAGTTTGGGCGCAGACCCAAGCCATGGATTTCCGACCATGCAATTTTTCCGGATACTGAGGGAGAATGAGGCAGCATATACCAAAGGGGACCATGTCATCATGGTTTTATCCAAAAATGGTGGCTTACCGAAGCGTTTACCTCTTTCACTCGAAGCGCTGAGGTCCTTCCATATTTGGTGGGGCCAGGAGCGCCTGCCCATCGTTTAACCTTCCGAGTTTTGAACACCAGCTACCTACATCTAGGAATGACCATCTTACATCACCTTCTCACGAACTGTTTGGAAGTCAAGGGTGTGTTGATGGTACACCGTGGTACACCTGACAATGCAGATGGGAAGTTGGGCTATGGATAGCTATGGTACTTGAGGATGTTGCAGGTCGTAGGTGGCTTTGATCAGCCATGCGGTGCACGACTGCACTGAGTTGCGACTCACTTGGTACCCACCCCGTTACAGTCAGGACTGTGTGACGGAGAAGTGTGCGCCGCTGAGGGCATTGTTATGCATTGTCTATCCTCGGGCCATGTTTGGACCCACTACATGACAGCGCTGGTAATTCATGGGAGCTGAAATCATCCATTTTTGGGGGCACTAATTTTGAGCAATTCGTCAATTCGCATTCGCTGTTGTATTAATGAAAGAGATGCCAAAATTGCTTGGGTCAATGACAGCCACATGGGAAGGACCACGAAGGACCTCTCCATAGATGATGCTTGTTTAGGAAACCATCCCAAAGATGGTTTGTTGTTGAATTTGAGAACCTCTATCGAGCCCATCATTATGAGTAGATGTTCAAACCAGGGAAAAGTGCAAGTAGCAATTCCAGTAGTTGCTGTTTGTTAGTTAGTTAGTGTGTTTGTTTGTTTGTTTCTTTCTTTCTTTGTTTGTTTGTTTGTTTTGGACTTTCCAGCTATGCACAACCAATTTGAAGCCAAAACCATCCAGAGTTGTCGCATGGAAGCGTTCCCGGAGGTCCCTATCCCAAGGGCTGGGAAATTTGGCCCAAGAAAGAGAAGGTGCCGCACGGGCTATACCTTGGTGGCCGCTCCAACCGTAGATCCAGCAGCCCAACGGGCCCAACACCAAGCCATACCAAGCCTACTGTTAACACAGGGTGGATAAACCCATGGAGGGTAATCCCCTCAAGTAGTCAGGGTTTAGCAAAATCTTGGGTTAGTCATAAACCAAGTTGGCCCCACATTGCGCCACTCGTCCGAAGTTGACCATCCAGGTGCTTGAGCACTTCCATTACGCTGCGGAGGCTTATGGCGTTGACGGCCTAGCCTTCTGACACTGCAGGTTTCGCCAGGCTTGGTAGTCCCAAGTTTCGGGGAAACATGGGAGGGATCCAAATTGGGGTCCCGTATTTTTTCACCGGCGAGATCTTTAGAACAATTGGCTGAGCAGATTCAGCTCGTTTTTTGATGTTTGGAATAACCAGTCATTGCCATGGCATATCATGGCATCCATGGCCAAGGTGCTGCCCAACTTTCAGTTCAAGACCAACGTGGCGAAAATGGACATCGTTGGCGATAAGCGGGGAGTCATGGATGATCCCACAGCCCTGGAGCTTGTGTGGCTACCAACTGTTGCCTGCTGAAGCAATGCAACTTGATCCAATTTCCGGCTAGATGATCCCTACAATGTAGAGCCCCCTAGATTGGTAAGTGACGACTAGAGCCAGGGTTGACGGTGGATGGATCAAAAATGGGGTGAGTTCAAAAGCCAAAGGGGCTCCATATTGTATGAGTAGGTTGGCATGGGGAAATCCTGAACATGAACCATTCAGCCAGCCCTTGACCGTTGTTTTCATTTACTGTGACGTCGCTCAGGGACGCTCATGACCGCTACTATAAGCTGTCAGTGCACCCTGTGGATGGTGGCGATACACGTGAG